CAATTACTAGATTTTTCCAAAGAATAAAACTAAACTTTACTTGGATGATACAAAAAAGTTTAAGACCAAGTTTAAGTGAGGAAAGTTGTAAGAATTATCTCTGCAACTTCAATTCCCTCTAACGCTTAGGCAGATATATGGCTGCCAGTACCCTCCTCCTGTTACTCTTCCTCATACCTGCACTTCTGCAAGCGTTGTAGCAAGGCTCTCCAATCCACCCAAAAAGTTTAGACTTTACTGCCAGAGTAAATTAGGCAAAAATTCCTTTTATTTCGTTATATTTATCAGAAAGCTTCTGTGTACCAGATTCTTTTCTTTTTAAAAATTATATAAAAATTGTATAAAAAGAATAAATTGTAAGTTGCCAGAAGCAGGGAGTGGGGGTGGGAGAAGTGGGTGAAGGAGGTATAAATTTAAAGGAAAAAAAAAAAAGAATCTTAACAGATGTGACATAACTTCATTGAAGGGAGTTGGGGAAACATTTACTTAAGTAACTTAGAAAATGAGTAGAGACTGTAAGACTAAGGACTAAAAGAACTATACATAAGTACTCTACTGTAGTTAATAAAGTCATTTCCTGTGGGAGTGTAGGTTAACAATTCTGATACCACTATACATGTATACTGTGTTTGAGCAAATAGCAAATAGATGAATAGTGGTAAAAAAAAAAAAAAAAAAGTTAAAATTAAAAAAAAAAAAAGAAAGAAAGAAAGAAAGAAAGAAAAAGGTGATGTGCCAAAGACAAAAGAGTAAACAAGGTCTACTCTTTCCATATGGACACATTCTGACATTCTTTTTTCTTTCGTACGTGATGTTATCTCTCTGCATGGATTATTCCCTACTTAATCTACTGAATTTGTACTCCCCCCAAAAACAGTAACAACAACTACAAACCCAAAAGCTTGGCTTGTCCAATGAAAACCCAGGCTTTCAATTATATTGCTTCAGCTAAAAGTTTATAGATTAATTCAGGAAGCAATATATTCTTGGTTCTCGGCTATAACTGCCTTCCACAAAACAAGGGAAAAAAATATATAATACAATAGAAGAAAACTTATATAAGCAAGACTAAATCTATAGGTTTATATAAACATTCTGGTTTATATCCACTCTCCTACCAATATATACACACATATTTACTCACATGAGATTACACTGTGCACACTATTTGATAATCTGCTTTATGCAGTATGTCTCAAATATCTCTCCATTTCAGTATTTTCCATAATGTACATTATACATATATAGCTATGTATAATGATTGCATGACATTCTATTATATAGATATATCAATTTAATCTATCCTCTATTGTTGAATAATGTTAGTCCCAATATTTGGTAATTCTGATTTAATAAAAAAAAAAAAGGGAGGGAGGGGAGACTATTTGTATTATAACTGTTATACAAACTATAGAAAACCAAGAAAAATCACCCCAAACCTAACCACCTTACCAACACTAGTTTTTTATTTTGTTTTGACTAGTGTTTTGATGTTTTTGCATTTCATTTTTTTCCCTTAGGCATTCATTCATTCAAACAATTACTTATTGAGTTCCTGCTATGCCCCGGGTTTTTACTTAGGTTTTTCTTTACTTTATTCCATAACAATTTTTTTTTGTACTATATTTTTAAAAAACTTCTCATAAGTGCTTTGCTGGTTAAGTCTTCCTCCCAATCAGCTCTTTTAAGTGGTTGTCAAACATCACTCCCAAAATTGGATGTGACCTTGTTTACTTATCTATCTCTACTGCTCAATAAATGTTCTGATTACTTGAATTTCCTCATCCATAAAGTCCCACTTTAGTTCACTTAACTCATTTGTTCAGTTAAATGTAAAATATGTACAATTACCAACTACTGCTAAAGTTTAAAGACCATCGCTTTACCTCTATATAGCACATTGTAGTTAGTTACATATGCAGTTGACCCTTGAACAATGTAGGGGTTAGGGGTTTGACCCCTGCACAGTCAAAAATCCGAGTGTTAATTTTTGACTTTCCAGTCAGCCTTTCCCATCTGTGAATCAAAAACAGTATTTTCAGTCCACGGCAGGGAATGCAAAAACACTGTTTTTGATCTGCAGTTATTAGAGCTAACGGTATTTATTGGGAAAAAAAAACCAACCCATGTATAAGTGGACCCATGCAGTTCAAACCTGTGTTGTTCAAGGGTCAATTGTATGTATTTCCCCCTTACAATACTCATTTAACTGCCTATAAACCTGTAACAAAGTATATATGTCAATTTGCAAATGAGGAAAGGAAGGCAAACTTGCCCAAGGCCATACAGCTATTAGGCTGCACAGCTCAGATCTGATGCCTTGATAAGATTAAAATAAAATTTTATGCTCCTTTTGTATCTCCTAATACACCTAGATGAAGGTCTCTCCACCAGAAAGCCTTTTCCAACATCTTTCACTAACGCCTGTAGCTGACCATCCCTCCCTGGACTCTAAACACACTTTTATCAGAACATCTACAACACTCATTTACAGATCTCTTGCTCCATACTTGACTTTTGCCCCATACTCGACTTCAAGACCCTCAAGAAAAAGATCCTTTTCTCATTCATCTTTGAATCCCTATTACCTAATGCAGTGGCTGGCACAAAGTAGAAACGCAAGTGTTCAAAGTATGATATAAGCACATTACAAATATTCAATAAACACTATAGATATTCAGAGCACATATAAATATCTGAATTGATCCAATTCATATCATTACAGAGAGTCACACTAAGGTATATCTAGAACCGATTAGGTTTAAATATAAACTTGTATTCAAAAAGCAGGCATTATCAACATAGAAAATGTAATTTTTAAGTGCCACTTACATTAAGAGTAATACATTAGTAACAATACTTAGTAATGGTAAAACACACAAAAGTTAACAGATGCCTTTCAATAATTATCTTTAGGAGTCACAAGGTCCACAGTTTAGGATTTAGCCATTTCATTATGACTACTTAATAAAGTGTGGGGGAGGGTAACAAAAATCAGTATAAATTGTTAATTACGCTCAAGTTAACATGACATTGTTTTAAAAATTGTTTTAGAAAATTTATAGTTTTAGAACTGATTCTGCTTACTGCTTCCCCCTTACAATTCTTATATCACTGGAATGGTCCTGACAATATTTCTGACTTGGTCCAACCATCTAAAACCATCTACCAATCTGTGCAGTGCTTACAGAAGTCAGGCATGTGTAGGAACATGTATGCAAGCAAACAAGCACCATATAATACAATTTAACTTCTATATTCCATAGTAGGATACTACAGGGTACAAAATAAGGAGCTGGATGGTAGAGCTCAAAAATATTGCTTCTCAAATGTTTCCACTGTAGTACCTATACAAAGAACACTTTCCACTCCCAGGCACCTCTGCCCCATTTTGTTGAAGACCTGTGTAATCTTAAGCCAGTCATACACAGTGCACATTATGCTCCTAAAATATATATTTAATATAAAAAATTTTTAATTACTTACCAGTTAAATTACTTAACTCACCGCCCCCTCAATGAGCACAATTGAAGCTCCAAGAAGCTGGGTCATGTTTATCTTGTGGCTTCAAGTACCCCGGAATCATATCACTTTGTACCCTAAGGGTATTCATATCCCAGTTTGAGAAACAGGGATTAAACTAGCCATAACACTTAAAAGTGACCAACATGTTCCTATGACCCCATTCCCCAAACTCTTAAGGCCAGTTTCCTCAACAGCTTTTCAAATCAATAATTTCTCTTTTTAGTAGTTTATTATTATGTACTCTTTGTCAAAAGTTCTAAAAGAAGCTGTAGGATACAAGTTAATTCTGGAATGACAGAAAACTAGCACAAAGACTTTGTCCTTCCCATCTACTTAAGTACCAAGATGCTCATTTAGAAAATAGAGATTGAAGAATAGTAGAGCTTTCATTCCTGTTCCCTTCCTCCTTTCCTGTTCTAGGCATAATGTACAAGAAATATCATAGTAGTCGCTTAGATGATTCATTCATATAAACTTAACTAATCTCTGCATTGGTAGTTCCTACCTCTATACTCCTTTTTGCCATTACACAAATGCAATGAAATGATTTTCACATTTTCTAAGGGATAAGAAAGATGTGCTTCCTGGTAGCCTGAGCAGATATACTTTTCACATCCAGAACCCTAGTTGATTGTTTATGAGATCCCAAAGCCTTAGTAGACCCTGACATTTGAGAAGGCTGTTTCAAGTACCCTGTGATGCCGGTTGTATTTTACAGGAGAAATTGTGGGATAAAGTAAAGTAACTCTTTCAAATTTTTAAAAGATTATTGATAATGACTGTAACTAACATTCTGATGCGAACATGGGCTAGGTTAACTCAATTAAGACAATTTTTATCCAGGATACCAGATTTCCCAAGAACAGGATTCCAACTATTCTTCATCAGAATTACAAATTGCCCCAGGCCATGGGCTTTCGAACTCATTTGCCAAGAGTCAAAATATATATTCCAGAGGTTTCTATAGAAAAGCAGCCGACATTTCCAGAGGGTTTTTTATGTATTGGCTCAGAATGGTATTTAATGCTTGACACACATTCTTAACCATGAGAATAGCCTCCTTAATTGATGGTATTATTTTACATATGAGGCCTGTAGGAGAAGAAAAGTAACTTGCTCAGAGTCATCCAGCTAGTGTAAGGCAGTGCAGGGTTTCAAAATGAGGACTTGCTATAAAGCCTGTATGCCCTCAATACACCCACCCTCCTGCAACTCCTATGCCCAAGAATGATTCAGCAAATCCTCCAACCCCCATAAGATTTTATTACTCTTATTTTTAAGGCCAAGAAACGGAAATAGTATTTACCTCTCCGTGGCTGCAAAGTCAGTTTGAGGAGGGAAAACAGAAGCCAGCTCTCAAGCCCCTGGTCAGCAAACTGTCCACTAGTGCATCTTGTTCTTTGGCCCCAAGTTTGTGATCATTCTAAAACAGAAGCACAAATCATTTTATGAACACTAACTACACACAAATGCACATATAGTGTGAAAAACAAACTGAGGGCAAGATGAAGACTGATGACAATGGAAAAGAAACAATATACCAGTTAATGTGTCACCTTACTAATTGAGCCATTCTATAAATGTCTATGAAGCCAATAATAAAACATTCAGTTATTTAAGACATTTGCTAATTATATAAAGGACTAAAATTTATGATTACCAAAATATTGCTCCATTGTGATCTTGTAACCAAATAATGGCACATGTATATATATTCAAACTATCAAAAAATTCTTATAGATACAGTATAATAGTCCTTTAACAGTTTATTTCCTTATCTTCAGCAGGTAGCAGTTTTACTGATTGAGCTACATTACGATTAAAGACTATTTTTCAGTTTAATAAGATAACTACGGGGGGAGCTTTCACTGACCTTTGAAAATACTAAAAGCGCAATAATGAAATGCTTTTTTCTTAGTAAAAAAATACCAGTTTTCTCCCTAAATTACAAATAAATGAAATGTCAAACTTTGAGCAATAGTAGAGTGGAACTTACCTCCAAGGGGAGGTGGGGGGGTGGGAGGAGACTAACTCTCAAGTGAAATGAAAGAGCTAAGTTTGAACTAAGCGTTTCCAAAGAATTTGGTATATGAGGTACAACTAAGAGAGAATCCACCTCATAATTAACTAAAGCCCGCAACTCTAAGCTGATAAAATACTTTCCTAGATAAAGCTGAAGTCTTCTCTGTTGAGAGGCAATTTATAACAACTTAGAGGACTAATGTATCTAGTGCAAAAACCACTTTTGTATTGGAATCTATATACTATCGCCAGCATGCCTCAAAAGGCATTAGATTTTATAACACTGAAATGTAAGGGTAACTAAAAATGAGAATCTAGTGCAGAAAAATCACTATTTTTGGAGTATGTGTCAGCAGTCTATTCGTAATGCCACACCTTTGCATTCAGTATTAATCACTGAGAAAATGCACAAAGATACTGCCAGGGAAGATCTGAAGGTAACGACTAGAGAAAGTTTAGGGATGTTTAAAAAAAGAAATATGGTATGCCAAATCTACATATTCAGTTGCAAACCATGGTTTCCAAGATATATATTATTTGTCATTATTGTTTTCTAAATCTGTATGCTCTTTCTCAAAGTATTAAATTATGACAAATCTTAGTTGTTTGAAAAGGAACCTAATTTTTAGTGAAAAAGCCTGAAGTCATCTGAAACTAAGATAGGTAAATAAGGTAGAGAAATGGTCAATTAAGTTTCTGGTTTAAAAAAATGAAATGAAACCTACAAAATAGATGCTGTGGAGTGAATTTAAGGCCAGCAGCATCCTAAAGCAAAAAACCAGTCTCTAGAGGAGACTTTCTGCTAGCAGGCACCATGGTGCAAGGCTCTGCCACAGGACTCCTCCTTAGGGCCCTCATTAACTACAGGTGACCCCCCACCACCCCCAAGGAACTCCTCAAGCCGCCCAGAAGTCTTAGATATGTGCCCTCATTTTTATGTGTTCTTTAAAGCAAAATCCCAGAGACCTTAGAATCTGAATGCATCTTAAAAACTTTACAGCTCCTACATTACCTCATGTTGGCTGAACGGATCCCTAAGATAACTTTTACAACTACTCTTAAATAAGCAGTACTTTCCTATGTGGACAAACAGTTCTGTTGTAATCTTCCTTATACTACTGATTTAAGTAATAAGTTCCTTTGGGTAACTTTCTATTTTCAATTTATTCTCTCTGTAGATTTAGTTTTCCAATAAAAACAAAGCATGAATCCTAGCAAAGAGGAAATCTCAAAAGGATAGCAACTCTGGGGACAAGGTCTATATCATTAAACAGTGTAAATGATATATAAGACCAAGAAATTGATGACTGCATATGGTACAACTGAACCAAGAAGCCAAAATATTGTCAGTGGAGCACAATGCTAACCTAGGAAAACAAGCTTTACTCCTGGCTCACTTACAGACTTGCTGCATTTTCATTTTTAACCCGTGTGGAGCTTATTTTAATAAGTAAAACATGCCACCTGCCATCCACAATTTCAAAAGTAAAACTGAAAATCACAAGAATGCAAAAAACTACACAAAAGGACTAACATATTAGACAATTAAGCTTGGTTCTACTCCCAAACCCGACATTGCATTAAGCTACTGCATTTAGTTACTTAGTGCAGTTTTATTCTGGAGGAGGAACATTTTGTAGGATTCAAAAAGGGGATGCTGAAAGACTACTATGAGGTAGACTGCTATAAAATCCTACAGATTAATTTCACGGTAGACCGGACAACTTTGTTTAGCACCAAGCTGTTTTAATTTCCTCATAAACTTAACGTAACTTTTCTTCTTCTAAAAAAAGTTAATCAAGACTTTCTCCTCTCCAAAGAAACCCGAGTTGTTACATCAACTGCTGCACCATACTATTATATTAAGGTACTAGAATATTTTTGAGGAAAGAGCAAAAAGAGAAAACTCTAGCAATTCAACAGAAAGCTTTTTAATGCTGTAAGACGACTTAGGAACAAAGTAAATTTAATATACATGTCCTATTTAACTTCTTTTGCCGTCTAGAGGGTACATGGAACTTTAACTTGATCTAAACTCAAAGAAAGCATGAAGACTATGCGAATGTTTACTTAATTCTGAACTCAGGGCTACAGGAAGTCAGCTACTAAAGGGTAGTTACATTAGGCGTAGATATTAATAAACCAACTACAGCTAGTGACCCAGGATTCAATTACAACATCAACCCTCAGATTTCACCGTATGGGCAAATTACCAGTGGAGTCAAGAATAAATTCATTCTGACCTACTGGCGGTTTAGATCGGGTTGCAGAATCCCAGAGAATTGCCTTCGCCTAGCCCTAGAGCATCAGGTACTAAGTACTGTACTAATTTAGTGTCAGGACATTTTAAAGCGCGAGGGAAACTCAAGGGTCGACTGCCCAATTTAGCCAGCCCATAATCCCGAATTCGGGAATTTGTCACGTCACTTGAGATCAGAGTGAAATTAAGTTTTGATCCCTTTGAGATCTCTTAGCGCACAAAGTCAGACTATCACACTGCAAGGGGAGGGCGACCCTGGCTCCAGAAAAACTACTTAGTGCGGAACTCGTGTATTTTCCGCCCACTGTGGGGAGCCGCACAGGTCCGGTCCCGCAAGGAGCCGGGGCGCGAGTTTGGGGGCGCAGCGGGGCCCGGTGGGGGCAGCGAGCGCGCGTCCCCCCGCCCGCTCAGGCGGCGTCGAGGCGCGAGCAGCTCAGCCAGCCTTGCAGAGGGAGCTCTCGGCAGCTCTGGGGTCCCTCTGCTCGCAGCCGCAGCAGCGCCGCCTGCGCCACTCGGTGGAGACGGAGACCAGCGGCGACGACGCGCGGACTGGGAGCGACCGCTGAGCAGCCAAGAAGGCTCGCAAGGCGGCCGGGTAGGTTCCGGGGACCGGGCGAGCTGGAGGATGGGCAGCCTGAGAGGCGTTGGCGAGGGCCTGGCACCCATACTGCACGGAGACCCAGTTGCGCGCGCGGCAGCGAAGGGTAAGGACTCTTGAGAGAAGCGGACGCGGAAGCCGAGGCCCGCGGATCGCCTCTCGGCTGAAGCCACCCGCCTCAGGAGGGGCGGAGGACAGAGGGCGGGCCGCGGCCGGGCGATCGGTCGGGCCAAGAAGCCGGCCTCGAGGGCAGAGACAAAGGAAAATGGAGTCGCCGGCGCGCGGGCCTCTGTTGTCGCCACTGCCGGAGGCCTAGCGGGCGGGTGTGTGTTGGGGGGGCCGGCCGGGCCGTGGCGGCGACGGGCAATGGCGGCGGCCGCGCCGCAGCAGGGACGGTAGAGGGAGA